CAGAAGGACAGCTTTGATAGACAAAGGAAAAAGAAAAAGGTAAGGGGAAAAGTCATCCTGTTTTCATCCATCTCACCTGCATAATTCGCTGTGATAAATCAGTTGAAGCTGAGAGGTCAAAAGTAGAGTTTGTGATAAAACTAGGAGCAGAATCATTGGATTTGGCTTCTCAGTTGCAGAAGGCAGAGAAACAATAAATACAGAAAGATATAGCAGGTGAAAGGTAATAGTTAAATAGAGTAAAAATGTGTTTCTGAATAAAGGCAAAAAAGAGAAATGTTTTCACAGCAAAACATTTGATGAAAAAATCCTCAAAATGTAAACAAATTTATGGAAAAAGTTTTATTTTCTCTCTCAGAGTTAAATACTTATGGTTAAAAAAAAAAAAGAAGCAACAAATGTGTGTATTGTGGGGAAAAAAAAGCTGGTAATGTTTTTGGCTGTTCATGTTTTAATACAAAAACTCTTTTCTAAGACCAAAACACAACATTATTTTATTTTTTTTACCTTTATCACAGCTGTCCCCCGTGTATCCGCTGCTGCATTCGCAATATGGTTTCCCAAGTCCTGAAAGCCTGCATTTGCCATGTTTACACCTGATGGATTGGCATGGGTTAAACAGCATTTCCTCTTCATCACAGAGGACTCCCCCATGTCCCTGCAGGCATTTACAACTGTATGAAAACGCATTGATCGGCAAGCAGGTACCATGCACACATCTACAGGGGAAACAAGCCCAAGAGAATAAAAATAAATTATTCATCAAAGTTCAGGCTGAGCAACATTAACTACAAATACTTTGGACTGTACTCAGAAGAAATTGCTTTTGTTTCTAATGGACTTTTTCAGTGAGATGCAGTGAAGTGGTTCATAATTGGTATGCAGGTTTACACAAAACGAACTGCAGTACAGAACTCTACCTCACCAGAAAAAAGCCACTGTAGATGTGTTATGGAAGATTTTTACAGGACACAGTTATTAAAACCAACATTTCCTGTCTACCAAAATTTTCAGCATGCTTTTTAGAATTAAGGAGAGAAAAAGGATACTCACCTGAAATTCTGGTTCTTGTATAATTTGAAAAAAACATTGTCACTCACAAAGTATGGGGCTCCCAGCACAAAGACAGGTCAGGCACTTCCTAACTGAAACTCTTCTGACCCAAGCAATGGCAGTTTCAAAGCTGAACACATGCTCCCCCTTCAAATACAATAGTCTGCCAACTGCCAGTACTGTGGTCATATAATGTATGAGGCAGGTCTTCACTTCACTGAAAGCCAACAGCCCTCATCTAGTACTCGTGCAGAAACTCACACTAGATGAGACTGCATATTAACAAGTCTCACTCAAGTGATTAAACTAGCAACTCTCTGAGATGAGCTGTGGTAAAGTTTGTGGCAGGCTCAAATGTTGTTGTTAGACAAAAAAGGCTGTTAGTTAAGCTGCATCTGCTAGGTTCTGACATCCAGTATGGGAACACATAGCTGGTCTTACCTCTCTTGAGAGAGAGGTGGTGGTTCCCAAAAGGAGGATGTTTAATTGCCTGTTCCTAGGTGTAAGCTGAAGATTTGGGGAATTCATCTTCTGAAAACATCACCAATGACTTGGAATAAAATTACTTCCCTTTGTTCATTTGGTGATACAAGGTCAATAACTTTCTTCCTAGAAATAATATTATTTTCTTTAACTGTTGTCTCGATACACAGGTTTTCTATCTACATACTGTTTCCTAGGGAGACCACAGTGATGATTCTTCTGTAGGGAGGAATGCAATCCTGACATTCAAGGTCACAGTCACCCTCCCTAACGGTTCGCCTCTCATAATGTGTTTCCTCTCTATGTTATAAGATCCCTGAGCCCACAACCTCCTTAGTAAGTTGTGGCAGTCAACTAAATAAATATACATAAAAATAAATGAAAAGCTTTAGATGAAAATAAATAAATCACATTTGACCTAAAATAAAATCCTTTGTTTCTACGGGTACTCCTTCAGTACAGTAAGAAATTTGGTAAAATTTAAAAGAATGTACAACACTTTTTAACTGACAAACTTGCATTAACTATTTAAAACTGTTTCAGTTTATAAACATCAACAAGTTCCACTCATCAATGCAATCTATGTTACAATTCTACATCTGTACCTTAATTCTGTGCAAGTGCTTTAGCATGGTGTAACTAGGAGGAAAAAAATATGGAAGTCAGTTTCATCACATGATATGTGAACGGAAGGCACAAAACACAGCCTCCTGCACTGGGGTCACAACAACCCCATGCAACACTACAGGCTTGGGGAAGAGTGGCTGGAAAGCTGCCTGGTGGAAAAGGACCTGGGGGTGTTGGTTGATAGCCAGCTGAATATGAGCCAGTAGTGTGACCAGGTGGCCAAGAAGGCCAACGGCATCCTGGCCGGTAACAGAAACAGTGTGGCCAGCAGGACCAGAGAAGTCATCCTTCCCCTGTACTCAGCACTGGTGAGGCTGCACCTTGACTACTGCGTCCAGTTTTGGGCCCCTTACTACAAGACTGATGTTGAGGCACAGGAGTGTGTCCAGAGAAGGGCAATGAAACTGGTGAAGGGGCTGGAGAAGAAACCTTATGAGGAGCAGCTGAGGGAACTGCTGTTGTTTAGTCTGGAGAAGAGGAGGCTGAGGGGAGACCTTATCACTGTCTACAACTACCTGAACAGAGGGTGTAGCGAGGCAGATGTGTGTCTTCTCCCAGGTAACTAGTGATACAACAAGAGGCGATGGCCTTAAGTTGTGCCAGGGGAGGTACAGATTGGATGTCAGGAAATACTTCTTCACTGAAAGGGTTCTCAGGCACTGGAACGGGCTGCCTAAGGAGGTGGTTGAGTCACCATCCTTGGAGGTATTTAAAAGATGGCTAGATGGGGTGCTCGGAGATATGGTTGAGTAGTGTATAGGTACAGTTGGAGTCAATGATCTCAAAGGTCTTTTCCAACCAGGAAATTTTATGATTCTATGATATCCAGTTTGGGATTAAAATCTGCAAATACAAAACTTAACTAATAGTTTAGGCACCTCCAACTTCCCTGTTATGCAGGAGTCCATATTTTTGAAGCAACTATGTTCCCTAAAAATTTCCAAATTGTTCCTGTGGTTGAAATCTGATATTCCAAGACTGTTAGATAAAGCAACTCAAAATTGAAGGCTTAGTATCACAAAGGAGATAGTTTTTGTTTAGTTTCCATTGTGTTTAGCATTTGATCTGTTCACCATTTACAAAACAACCACTTATAGGACATCTGATCTATGACGTTATTCAGGTGACACTGACATCATGTCATACTCTATACAAGCTGGTTTTGATATCAAAGCAATCTGTGTCAGGACCTTTGGCAAAGTTCTGCCTGACTTAAAAGATGATTAAATCTTAGCTAGTGTCAGCTCCCATACTTTTGCTTCCACCTGTTCTTTGAAGCCCTAAATTTCATCTTCAGACTGTACTGAAAGGAACATTAAGCTAAGTGCAAACTCTCAGGCACAGTTTCATCTTATCTAATTTTAGGTACCTATGTCAGGCGCTCAAGTCAAATGTATGATTGCTATAAGCTCCCCACACAGTCATGGAGATAAACGAGTTTATACAGAGGGTGATTAGATCACCAGAGGTCTAATTTAATCTTTAGAAATGTGTTTATTCCTTAACTGACTATAGAGCAAACTGGTCACTATGTTCCTAAGTCAAGCACCTAGATTTAGGTAAAAAAAATCCAAGCCTTAAGCCTTATCATGATGTGCAGGGATCTCTAAAAGATCCTCTACATTTTTGAAACAGAGATCACAGCGACAAGTCTGTTTCTCAGATGAAGTGGAATGTTATACTGTGTTAGGCAGACAAAATGCATCTATTTAGTAGACAGGATTTAGAGATTAATCAAGAAATACAGAATCAAAATCCCCAGGAACTAAAGAACAACAAGACCCTTCTTCACTCTCACAAATAAAAAATTTTGGTTTGTCTTTCTTTCCTAAAAGCTCACAACACTGTATACAGCTGAAGCAAAACCAATACTTTCAAGAGCTAACAAAATACTAATGTTGTGCTCACTTAATTCTATCCTTGATACTGCCTGTATCTGACACTTGCCAAGTTTTGTAATTTACTGCACGCTGCACACTGTTCGGGTGATGATGTGTATGGTTCTAAGAACCTATAAAGAATCTAATTTTTCAAGGATAGTTCAAACAAATTCTTTGGGTTTTCTCATTATAGGACTTTATGGTTCCAATTCCATGTTATTTTTGACTCCTAAAGTATAAAATGGATGTGATAGATAACACATTGTATTTTTTAACCTCCTGTGACTTCTTTATCTCTTAATTTACCGTGAAAGAGAACAGGGTAAGAAAAACAATGAAGCGCTATAATTATATGCCTCAAAAATTCACTGCTGTGATTTTGAGAAGAGTTCAAAACTTAATGGTACTGAAAGAATCCATAACCATTGTAAACAATGCTAACTGCACCATAAAGCATACTAACTGGCATATAAAGTTTTAAAGGGTCAGACTCTCCACACATACTACGTGAAAAGATCACTTAAAAATCATTTTATATCGGCATCGAAAATCATCTGATCAGAATCTCTTAGCAAACTAAGGCCACTGGTCCGCAAAAGTTATATAGGCACTGAAAAAGCATCAGCTAAAAGCTCCAAGCAGACTTACTTTACTCTAACAAAAAAAGAAAAAAAGAAAAAAAAAAATGTTTGTCAAACCATAGTAAGGGCGGTGGTAAGGCCAAAAAGAACCAAACGGTATCTTGTTTCTCATGACCAATAAACCTTGAAGAACTTTGAAATTCTGAACTTCCTGATCTTCTTATGCTGGGAGACCACGAGTCAAAAAATTGAATCTGTCTTTATAGTAAATTTAAAAGATAAATATGTATAGATATCAATCCTCTCATATACACATATAGACATATCTTTTGCTCTCTCTCTACACACATATATATGCATGACCTTCTCTATAAACCTACATAGCATGTTCAATCTAAAATGTTCTAGTCAAATCAGCAAAAAGAATTAGCACTCATGGACTTAAACAGAAGTTTACCACAAAGGTTGAAATCTATTTCCCTGCTAAAACCTGGGGTACTGTGAAAATATAAAAATATTAGATATCGATTGTATCAAGTTTTTGAAACATGTTAGAGAACAATAATTGTATTTCCTCATTCTATACGATATAAATAAGGAAATAGATTTTTTTTCCATTTGCAACTTCTTCTAAATTATTTTTGTACCAAGTGTCAATACCAACACTTGCAACAGTGTAACTCATTACAGAAGTAGCCCATACAGAAGTACGTAAGAGCATATGCCACACTTTAGGCAGAACTTCAGTGAGATCTGTGTATCTGCTCCCCTAATCTGGGGACTTTTCCTCATTAAGTTTATGGAAAGAATATACTATCACCTGGGCACTGTTTTCACTTTTACATGCCCAGGATATTTTGTTTCTTGTTGAAAAAAGTGTGAACTTTTATGAAAAAAATATACATAACAGGAGAGTTATATACATATTACACTACTGTTCTGACTTGAGAAAGAACATACTTATTTCCAAGACATGGGTCATTAGTTTGTTGATCACAGAGGGGTCCAGTCCATCCTCCTTCGCACTCACAGGAAAAGCCTGACTGGCTGGTAGCATGGCATGTTCCATGCACACAAACTTTCTTATGACAAGGCTCGCAACCTGGCAGAATTCCCACTTGTAGTGGCACATTTCTGAAGTCCTGGAGTTCGCTGTTGATATAGAGATTACGGATGCAACCATGGAAGCTGGTGCCATTTTGTCCTGGAGATTGGCGTAAAGCTGCAATGTTATTTTTCACAGGCATGCCTAGGAAATAAATAATAGCAAATTATCAATGTAGTCTTTGGTAAAATTTTCTGTACAATTTTATCTATTTTTTAAACTTTAAAATAAATATTTTTCCTAATTAATTATTCTTAGATATTTAGTCTATAACCATGAGCAATGATCTACTATTTGGAAATTGTCTTGGCTGTCAAGCATGCATGTAAACTAGCTCCAGACCTGTAACTCTCTAGGTCCGACTAAAGAGATGTATCTAGGACTTCATACAGGAATCTCATAACTGTGAAAAGGTTCAGATACATGCCTGTTTCTGACCTAGTGCACTTAAGTCCAGGATAGTACATAGTTTCTGAACCTTGGAAAAACAAAAATTGTTGAGATTTATCAGTTGATACACGATTTTTATAAGCTGCTAAAATACTCAAATCCAGAGGAATTTAGTAGGACCAGCACATAAATTTGGAGCTGGCAAACACATTTCTAATGTGAAATTTTGCTAGTGAAAATTCTTAGAAAGAAAAGCTCAACAGGAAGAGGTTCCATTACTTTCAAAAATATTTTTGTTCGGCACGTCCCAAAAATAGATTAATAAAAAAATCCTCTGTTGTAGTCTATAATTATTACAAGTGTAATGAGAGCAGGATGTATTTGTGATACAGTTATCCTGTTGTGATCAATTAATAATTTAAGACTAATTCAGAAGGAACATTAGAGTTAAACATTGTTTCCTTGTAAAAATGAAGTTTCTTCTACCTCTACCCCTGGTTTTTTTTTTTTCTTTTATCTTATTGCCAACATACTGGCCTATATTAGTTAGTCCTTAAGATATTACAGTCAAGTAATTAATACACAAATGCCTAAATATCTCCGGAGACTAATAAGGAAATCAAAATGTACGGAGCATTAAAAAAGGATCTGTTTACCTGAAAAGAAATATGCTTATTAGCTGCATCAGTTTATTCATAGACAAAATTAACAATTTTCATTCTGTTACTTAGTAAGATAACAACCACAGAAAGAGGTAATGTTCTGCATAGTTGCTCCTTAACCATGTAAACTGGTCCTTCTAATGGTTTTATATAGTTATTTTTAAGAGTTAAGAGTAATGCAGAAGTGCTATGCAACCTAATGAAGTAGACCTACATTTCATTTAGAGGTTATTGTAATTTCATTTGTGCTAAGCTTCAGTGACTATAGAAATGAAGAATATTGCATCCATACTGGTGAAGAGCCTAATCTTCTTTCATCTTACCAGTTAAGTAAAATAGGCTTGGGACTATTATATTAAAGGACTCAGACTGCAAACAATCGTTATTTTCCACTTTCTCAAAACTATGTGCCATATTTGCAAAATCCAAGGACAAGCAGAGTCATCAAAGCCTCTTCACCTTGATGTCTCCCTTGAAAGCAACACTCAGCAAATGTTTAGGCATATGGCCTGAGGTATCCAGTAGCAGAATAAATGCACTGACTACATCCATTGTAAAAATAAAAGCTGCATAAAACTAAGCACACTGATGCAATGATTAACTAGATGTTATACTTTTAAGTGTCAGGAAAGTTGGATATGGGAAATATGCATCACAGCAGATAATATGAGGTATATCACATGTGATTCAGAGAATTTTTTGTTTATGATCTCTAATATGGAAGACATTTGGAAACCTAGTGCAAGCATGTACACAAGTTTTTAGCCTATACAGTTTTGCTCCTTCTAGCAAATTAACAAGTGTTACAAAGCCAAAGTGTGTGCAAAAGCTGCTCATATTCTTTAGAAATATTTCCTAGAAAATTTTTAGATACAAGTTCTTTATCAGTTAGGAAAGAACTGCCATAGAAACGATGCAGACAAATAATTTCAGTTCTATTTTCTGAAAGGTGAGAAAGTAGATCTCGTACCCTTCTAAGCTTTTGGTCACTGAACCTGACTACAGGTAAATTTTCAGATTACTGCTCAAGAAGGCAAATGGTAAGACCCCTATTAAATAACAGTCACACAATAATACTGTCAAAACAAGTATCTCATTCAGAAGCTGCTAGAACAGAGCAGGCACAAATGAAAAGCAGCTGATGCCCTACCTGTCTCAGAAATAGGGTCTTCCATGAAACAAGGTGCCACTCTCAACTAGTGAAATATGTTCTAATTTCTGAGAGAAGAATGTGAAGTATCAGTGAAGTCTGTGACCCCTTTGAAGAGTTTTTGAGAAGAAACAGACTGTCCCTTAAGACTTCTTACAAAAAGCCATGGGCTTTCAATATGATTTACTGAAATCTGTTATAGAAAGACTGAAAAATATCTAGTGTGGGTATTCTGACCACACAAGAGAGCCATACAGTTGGTAAAAGGTCACAAAAAAGAAAAAAAAGTATAAATCAATTAGCCCACTTTCTGTAAAAGTAAAGCTAAATTACTCCGCCCAAATCAATCCAAATATTGTGACCCAAGAATAACATTAAAAAAAAAAAAAAAGGGATGGGGGGGGAGGGAAGAGAGAGAGAGGATGAGAGAGAAAGAAAAAAAAAACATACAAGGGCTTGCTGTCAAGTCTGAATTTCATCCTGCCAGCTGAGGTGATGCTTACCAGAAATGCCATTTTAACAGGAAGGTGATAAGAGTAAGTGTAAGCTACATGATGATATAGGTGTCAAACTAAGACTTTGGCAAAGATAAAAATACTGCATAAAATCCTAGTGAGAATCTGAGTTCTTAGCTGATGTAAATGTGTGATTGAATTCTCTAAAAATTCTAGATACAGCTGGATAAGAAAAAAATCAAATGAATCTCATAAAATGGGTAATATAAAATAAAAGAGTGAAAGTTAACTGTCTCAAGAATTCTAAAGATCATAAATAGATAAACATAGATCAAGAACAGAAAAGTTTAAGACCTGAATATCAACATATTGGCTTTTTGCTTTATTTTGTAATAATGTGGTTCTAATAAAGGTTTGCATTTTGTCTGGGACCAACATTTTCTATGAGAGCAGAAATAATTGTCTGCTTGGAGCCTGAATGTGAAGAATAGAAACAGAAGGAACAAAGGGCCTCTCTACAGAATATGCACTAGGACAAAAAAGACTGCTGCTCTTATGTATCAAACTATTGAAGGAAAAGGTTATTTCCAAAAATAATTTCTTCCAATACTTCAAAATGATGATGCAGATTACTATGATTCTTCTAATGGAGACACAGCTCTCCAAGGTTAAGCAGCAAGGAGGAGAACCACATGTCACAAAACAACAATTAAGTGTTAGCATTGCACAGAATAAATGTTTGTAGTTGGCAGTCTAGCCTCATTTCATTAGAAGCTCCCCGTAACAGACAGGGGGATCATTCTGCATGAAGTTGATTTTTCAAGAAGTAGTAAAATTGGCCTTGGCAGTCATTAAATAACAAAATGATGTTGACAATACATTTAAGCAAGCACACAGTGTCTTATTAGAATCTAGATTCATTTCTCCTTCCAAAAAATGTGGATAGAACACTATGTAAACAACACTGTAGAAGAGAGACACATGAAAAAATGCAAATGTGCTTCTGCAAGGCAATCCTCCTTTGAAGATTCATGATATGAAGCAACTTTAAAGGCAGATCATACATCTGATAATTCAATTCTTTTCTCATCTGGTATGGGGAGTGATGACTAATGTTGAATTCTGTCTTGTAATTCATCCCATCATTGATGGAAGGAGGCAATGACAAAATATGAAAAGATTTTACAAAAAAGCTGAAGTGTTTCAAGGGAAGAATGGGGATTTTCAGAGACAAAAGTCAACTTACCCCTCATCACTTGTAATTGAGGCACTTGTTATACTGTTTTACAGGAGAAATAGACTACTGATCTGAATCACAGCAGCTTTCTGTTTTTTCTCCCCATTAGAGATAAATCTAAGCAGCTATCCTGACCTTTTCTGTGTATTTAGAAAGAGAATAAATAGCACCTGTGCTAGAGAAAATAGGCATCTCATGAATGTATTACTGGTAGCATAATTTTTTGCAAGATGCTGAAGTTTAAAAAAACTTAGACAGAAAACAGTTCTTAAGAATTAGATTGAAAAACAAAGTAAGCATTCTTTTTACAGAAAGAACAGATCAGAAGTACACTCCTTCCATGTCATATACAGAGCATCACATTAAACTAAGTAGAAGATGAAGACTGTTAGAAGATCAGCAGTATTTAAAAGCCATGCTGAATCTCTGATCACTAGGAACTTAGACTTGCGACCAAGGACAGACAGTAAGAGGGCATAAAGTGGTGGCTGAAGTTTCTGAGTCTTTTACCTAGGTTATGGAGGCCCATCAGAAATTCAACAGAAACTGCTGGTTAAAACATGGGCTTCAATCCATAGCTCTACAGAGTAAATTGCAGCAAAGGATCAAAAAGGTTTCAAATAGTATATCTCCACAATCACCTACTACCAGATATGTGTACAGTGTAATACAAATATAAAACATGATCAAAACAGAACACTACCATTCTACACTTTCTGAATAGGCATTACTTCAGGTAGATAAACAATATTAAACACACTTCATAATAATAAAAAGCTACATAACAGTAGAAAATTATAGAATTTTACAGTGGGCATCAAATATCTGTACTGATAAAAAAGCAACAGGTGCAGTTTGAGGACATACTATTTAATAAAATTGAAACTATTGAGATTAACTGCTGAAGTTTCATCTTAAGGTGTTATCTCAATGAATGAGTGTCTTACCATGTGTTTATTAATGTATGTTACCAGACTAAATTAGCTATGATACTGTTAGTAAGAAGCAGTAAGATACTCTTACCTCCTACATACAGCGGAGAATCAAAATTCAGAGTGGACTGCTTGGACAAATTGGTAATTATCTTGGGGCTTCCTCCATCAATAGATAAAGACAGAATCTGATCCATAGCTAGCAGCTCCACAATGTGGAAATTGCCATCATTAATAGTTTCCACACTGCAAAATAAACATTAACATTAATTTTATATGGTTGATGGTCTGGTTAGAACAGTTTTTGGTCTTCTTCCCCTTTAATAGTTAATATAGCTTTGGAATAGAACTTTTCCAGGAGTGCAGTCTCCTGAAAACTAGATTTTAAGCAAAGACATGCATGTATGCTTAAGAGCTAACACAATGTAACACTCTATCAGTAACACTCTATTAATAATATGTATTGTAAACTAATAGCCCTTTTGAATTCAAAGTTATTTCTGTCCTCATCAAGTAACGAACTGTGTAAATATAGATGATATTCTAAACATCAGCTGAAATTCATTCACTAGGCAGGAAGCCGAACACAAAAACATTCAGAGTTCTACAACCATGATCAGAAGGCTGGAACAGTTCTTCTATGAAGAAAGGCTGAGAGAGTTGGGTTTGTTCAGACTGAAGGAGAGAAGGCTCTGGGTAGACCTTACTGTAGCCTTTTAGTACTTAAAGGGGGCTTATACGAAAGACGGAGAGAGACTTTTTACCAGGGCATGTAGCAATAGAACAAGAGGCAATAGTTTTAAACTAAAAGAGGGTAGATTTGGGTTAGATAGAATCTAGGAAGTAAAAGAAGACGATGTAAAGAAGAAATTCTTTAATATGAGGGTGATGAAACACTGGGACAGGTTGCCAGAGAAGTTGTGGATGCCCCATCAGTGGAAATGTTCAAGGTGAGGTTGGATGAGGCTTTGCACAACCTGATCTAGTGGAAGATGTCCCTGCCCATGGCAAGGGAGATGGAACTAGATGATCATTAAACGTCCCTTCCAACCGAAACCATTCTATGATTCTAATGTTATTTCAAGACAGTATTTGCACGTGGGTGCGTATGCATGTGTGTATCCTACATGTTGCATAGCATTGGGTTGACATATTTTGCCAAGTCTGAAGGGCTGAGTTGACTCAGTGATATATAAACTTACTATTTAATGGAATATGGAACTGCATCTAACCTTAGTCCTGCCAGACAAAATCACGTAATTGGTCCAGACAGCTCCAGTCATGCTATCAATAAATTAATTTGTTATCTTTATTGGGCATGGTTATTTCTGTGTGTTCTGCTTCTGGCAGTACAGTGAATACTGTATTTGTTTTTTTTTTTTCCTGGCCTACATATACCATGTCCTTCTGCTTACTACACAAGATATGAACCCACTACTAGGTGAATGCCCGAAGGGTGTCATGCAGAAAAGGTTTCTTTCAAGCATGGTGTTTATGCTGTGTAAGGACAAGCCTACATGTTATTAAGTACACAAAATGGCTGCCTGTGTTTACCAGCCTCAATACCTACAAAGCAAATGTTTAAGTGCAGGGTAACTACTCTGCACCTCAACAGAGTTTAAGTACATCAGGGAAAGAAGAATATTACTACTCAATGCTGGGACCAGACATATCATTGTACTTACATTTCTAACCCATTTTCCGCTCGAGAATTAAGAGCTGAATGTATGGCTGCATGGAAGTTATGACAATGAGCTGTAGTCCAGAGACCAGACATTATAACCATTCCCATGAGAGCCTTTATTTGCTTCAGGGCACCATCAAATAAGTGAGCTTAAGCCTTTGAAAAAAAGTTATTTAAAGGAACCAATTGTATGATAGCCTGAGATGGACTGAACAGTCATACAATCAGTTAGCTCTTCTCATTAGGAAAGCAGCATAGCTGAAAGGGATTAGCTTCCTAAATCTCTAGGCAAAAATCAAGCAAATTACCTTATAACATCCTTAGTGATGCTTTAATTAACCAAACTGCTTTTGTCCTGGAACAGATCAGAAGCACTCACATGGTCATTTACAGCTGTGACATATTAAATAGCTTATTAGCTATTTATTACCAACTCTAACATGTGGACAGGCTCAGCTCAATATGGATAAAAGATCTGCATGGTAGCATGTATGCTTTACATAAACTCAGCTCTATGTGAAAGTGCAAACACAACAGAGCAGACACTGGCAGAATAAACACTTTTCAGGAGTGGGCAGGAGAGGGACTGCCAGGTTCCATGGGGAGAAGGAAAAGGTCAGGGTTCATCATTCCTAAAGAGTGAGGTCTATTTAAGGTATTAAGAGGTTTGTTGGCTGTGATCAAGGAATAAGAAAAGTGCCAGGATTAATTTATTTAACACTTTTCAATGAATCTGGGAAAAAAGTTGTGCTACGAAATCAAAATGCATATGACTTCCTGACTTAAGTAAGCAAGAAACCCTAATAGAGTGTTCTTGTTCCAAGGAAACTTATGTAATTTTACAACTTACTAACCTTTCACACAACAGTATTTAAAAGAATGAGAGCAACACAAAACATGCATTTTTATAGCAAGAGGTAATTTCAGGGATGTATAAAACATAATGTGTAAAGGGAATGTGTCTCTGTTAAGAGTGATTATTAAAAGCTTCTATTTTAAACTAAAAATTTACTGCAGAAAGAGGAGCTCTCCCAGGTAAGGGTGGTTTAAATTAAAGAGGAAATAAACACAGGGCATATCTGTGCAATATTCCTGCCAATGCACTTACATTACTTCTAACCCATTTCCCATTGGAGAAATGAGAGCCGAATGCATAGATCCTAATGAAAAGCTGTAAGAAAAACTGATTTAAAGCTTCTGGAACTCTGTAGAAGAATAATGATTTGGGAAGAAATATTCCCATGTTTCCAATAAATATATGATGAAGACTAGTTTATGGAATGAAAAGTTTGGGTTAGGTTTTTTTGTTTGTTTGTTTGGATTTTTTTTTGGTGTAAAAAATACTTAACATTTAAAAATGGACACCCAGACAGAACAAAACCCAACTGGATCAACTTTTCCCAAATAAATATCTCCAATGAATTTTTTTTCTTTATTGGTCTTGGCACTGCCATCATCTCATCTCGTTACTCAGATTGACTGATGAGTGCCTGTGGGATGATGGCTCTTTCTGCCATAAATTCCCATTGGTAAAGCAGTTCTCATTCACTCGACACAGCCAGACTGCTGTTATTGTTGATTTTCCATATTTATCATGATTAAATAATCTGTAACTTTGTTTTGTTGCTACTGCAAGCACCTCTGTAGGCTTTACAGCTCCCATTTGACTCCTTTTCAACACACCATTTCATGACTGACATTTATATTATAAAACTTCTTTTTGAATCTCTCTATTGGCTGGTTGGTTTTTTTATTTTCTATTTTTTTATTTTGGCCTCTGTTTCATTGTTCAGCGGAGTATGATCTGTCTTATTCTTTTTCCTATACTATCTATGAATCTTCACTTCCATAATGAAATCTTCTCAGTTTTTAAATTTCCTTTCTGTCCTTCTCACTGTCAGCAACTTCCCATCTTAATTTGCAAGCTATCTACACCGTTACCAAATGGTTCTTAAACCTCATTGTTCTTAAACTTTATGAGTTAAAATTTTTTTTGTCTTCTTAATCTCTCTCTGACAAAACATTAATTTGTCTTATTTTATAATTTATCACCTATTTTTACTGGGTCAGGCTGGGATGGAGTTAATATTCCTCATAATAGCTGATACTGTGCTGTGTTTTAGATTTGTGACCAAAACAATACTGATAACGCATTAATGTTTTAGTTATTGCTGGATAATGTTTGCAGTGTCAAGGCCTTCTCTGTTTCTCACTCTGGCCCCCAGTGAATAGATTAGGGGTGTGCATGAGGTTAGAAGGGGATACAACCACACAGATGACCAGAACTAACCAAAGAGATATTCCATGCCATATAATGTCATGCTCAATAGTAAAATGGAGAGGAGGAGGTATTGAGGTAGGTTAGCCATCTTCTGCCTGGGAAATGGCTAAGCATCGATCTACCCATAGGAGATGGTGAGTGACTGCAATTGCAGCACTTGCTTTGTTTTCTTTCTTTCTTTCTTTCTTCCTCCACTTTTCCTTTGGTTATTAAACTATTTTTATCTCTCAACCCATGATTTTTCTGACTTTTACTCTTCCTTTTGTCTTCCCCTGTCCCACTTGGGGTGGAAGGGGAGGTGAGTGAGTGGATATGTCGTGCTTAGCTGCCTACTGAGGTTAACCCCTGACACTATTTCACAATATTATTTTAGCTATTTATAATTTTGGTAAACTGTTTCTTCTAAAAGTTTCCATACTCAATGGTACCTGAAAAGGACTTTTACTTTTCTAAACAGATCAGAGAGTTTCCCAAACTGAAAGGAACACACTCCTATCTCTTATGCTTCTACTAACCCTGCTTTGCAGGTCATGACATTTGTCAGTGGGCTGGCACCATGTCTATCCATTTGTCATCTTTCTGAAAATCAACTGAGGCAAGGTGTTAAAATCTTGAAAACACTGAAATCTGCAGAAATTGGAGGGCTAGATCCCCAAATTCTTTGTCCATGTTGGCTATATTTCAACACACAGATGATTAGTACCTTCCCTCCAGCTGTACTTTTGGGCTGCAGTAGTACTTGCTGGATCTGGTCCTGCCAACCCATTCAAAGAGAAGGTGTTGCATTAGCTAGATAGAGGTTACATGGACAGAGAAAGAAACTGTGTGGTTCTCATTCCGAGGAACCAAAATTACGCCTACAAAGAAGGGAGAGAAAGAGGTAGGACTGGACAAGAAATAGTTTGAATAAAGCAAGAATCACAGAATTGCCTAGATTGGAAAAGACCTTTAAGATCATCAAGTCCAATCATTAACCTAACACTGACAAGTCCCATGGTTTAGTCCCTGACTAAACCATGTCCCTCAGCACTATGTTTGCATGACTCTTCAATCCCTCCAGGGATGGGGACTCCACTACTGCCCTGGGCAACCCCTTCCAATGCTTGAGAACCTTTTCAGCAACGAAATTCTTCCCAATATCCAATCTAAACCAGTATTCCAGGTGGGGCCTTAGGAGAGCG